CCCAGCCCTGGGAGGGGGAGGGGAGCCGGGGCTGCGCTCCCTGTAGGCGGCAAACCCCAGGACCCAGACAGCGTGACTGAAGGCCAGCCTGCCCCCCAGCCCCTCCTTTCCTCTGGGCCATCTTCGTCCTGGGAGAGCCGCCCTCCAGCCCCCCAGCCCCGCGCACTCCCGGGCCTGCCCCCAGGATCTTGACCCTGACTCCTCCCTTTCTGTCTCCCCCACTGCCCCGGCCCGACCCCTGGCCACCTCCAGGGCCTGAGGACTCGTCCAGGTTTGACTCTGAGGTGGCCAGAAGGCAAGACAAGGGCGGCCCCACCCACACCCAGCCCAGGTCCCCCACATTGGACACATGGGAGCAAATAACCCCGACCCTGCACCCCTCACTGCCCAGCCTGGCCCCTTCCTCCAGGCCTGGGACCCCCGGTGCCTCGCAGGTTCTGGCCCTGGTGTCTGTGCCCTGCGGCCATAGCAGCCCCTCGGCAGGGGCGGGGCCCTGGGGTCCGGCCTGTGCTGTGCTGGGTCGCCAGGGCCCTTTCCCTGTGCTGACCCCGGTGCCATGAATAAAGGTGGCAATGCTGGTGGCCTCTTGGCAGTCTGTCCCTGCAGCCCACACACGCAGGAAACCTGAGGCCAAGGTCAAGGCCCTGAGCCCTAAAATTTCGTCTGATCTCAGGCTCTACTGGGGGCTCAGGCCTCTTGGGGGCTGTGAAGGGGGTCCTGGAGGCCAGGTAGGAAGTGCTGTGAGCTCTGGCCATCCCCTTGGGGCACCCTCTGCAGCCTGGACCCACCGAGACCCAAGAGCCTGCAGGCCACACCGGACAGGCCGCACCAGGGTTTACTTGGGGAACATCTCTTTCCAGCGAGTATTTGGGGGTGCGAGTGGTCCCACAGGTGGCTCTGGGAGGTGTCTTCTGGGGGTGGTTCCCCAGCGCCAGACGGCAGGAAGGACGGTCCGTGCAATAAACAGCCACCAAGGGTGCTGCCCGTGGGCGCTGAGCCGAGCTGTCACCCGCGGCCTCTGCTCCCAGCCTGGGAGGGTTGTATGCCTGGGCTGGGCTGGGTCGCTGAGCTGCCCACTGTCTGGGGCCGGAAGGGTGTGTGCCAGGGGTGGGCGGGGTCCAGGGGGCTGCCGCCAGAGGCTGAGAGCACCGGACACATCACATCCTGCAGCCCGCACGACCTGGACCCAGGACGGGAACCGGGCCCTGCCCCCGGCCGCCCTGGATGGCCAGCAGGGTCCCGCTGGGGAGGGGCGGGCGGGC